GAGAGAGAGAGAGAGAGAGAGAGACTCCAAAATGCTTAAGTAATTTATTTAAATTAGAAACTATTACAAATGTTGTCATTTACCATATTTATAACTATCAAACATGCACAGGATGTGGGCCCGCTGTTCCGGATAGCCTACCTGATGAACGTAAGCATGCAATTAATGATTGTGAACAACCACGAGCATACAATGACACCATGTCCATTTTCTATATACGCTCGACATTCGTATGTCGATCGGGTGCTAACAAATGTCATATTCATTACAGTTCCGCCAAAGTCTAATGATGAATGTCCTTATTATAAGGCGGAAAATCCCAAAAATTTATATGAAGGCTGTGAATGTATCAAGCACGAGTGCTCATTCCCGGGGCATGTTTGCGATGCTACCAGCATGGTCCCAGATGAATCATTAACATGTTGTATGCAGAAATGTGGTAACAAGTGTATGGCACTTGGTACAAATGAATAGCTAATTAAATTTCAGCAAATTATATTCTGGTCATTGGTTAACCGACTTATAACCGAAAGTTAAAAAAATTTCAGAAATTTTATAATAAATTTATTTTATTACTATAAACTGGCACTAAATCTAAAATTGTACTATTCTATTGAAATAAAATAAATACAATTTTTCTATAGTTTAAAATCATTTCTAATTTGTTTGGTGTTATACTAAAACAAATATTATATTGATACTAGTATAATTTCGGTATACTTATGATTAAGTATGATTTAATATACTAGTACTCATGGACTTAAATGACTTCCAGCACCTCCAGGTCCTTAAAGACTTCAAGCACCTGAAGCTCCCGAACCTAAACCTATTTCTCATGACAATGACCACGGGTAAGTTACCATAGTCATTTTGAGTATTTAATTGTGTTGAAATTAGTTTAAAAACTACTTTTCATTCAATAATTTTAAAATTCAAAATGTTATTAATTTTCACTTATAATTAACTGTTATTATTTATAATTATTATAATACTTACCAGTTGAAGGTCACTTGAATTAGCAAGCATAATTACTGTTAATATTATGCCAACCTCACAAAATAAAAATAATATAATACCTTTGACATTTAAAGTAAATATTTCAGCATTGACAATTTTCACCACAGATTCCGTATCTGCCATAGTTTATCTTGATGTTTTTCATTTAGTAAAATAATAATAACAAATTTTAGCTTATATTTTGTGTAATAATTATAATTAGTTATTTAGGTTTTTAATTATTTTGTAACAAATATTTGTCATTAAATGCAACCATAGTGTTGAAATAATAATTATAGTTATATTATGGCAATTATCTCATACTGTGCTAGCACCCTAAATTGTAATTATATAAGTGTTCTAGCTTAATTACATTATAAGTAATTATATTGAAAAAATAATTTGCTATTATTTTTGATATTTTAATTTGTGTATATAAATCTAATATTAAAATATACTGCATATTTAAATCAATTTAATATCTGATAAAAATAAAATAATATTTTAAACTAAACTGAAACTATTAGTTGTCATTATTGTAACTTATACGTCTATTAATTGTATCACGTTAACCAAATGGATATTTAATATATTATTTTAGCACGCAACATCTTTTAAAATTTATGCAATAATAATACGTTTATTATACAAAAATATTATAATAATGACAAATAATATTCACAATAGTCTCGCACTAATGAAACCATTGATACGCATCCGGACATACAAAATATGATTTAAAATATGATACATTATAATATTATATAGTATTTGAAATAATATACCGTGAATCTTTTATAATATAAAAAATCAAAAACTTAAATTTATTATATACAGTCACAAAATGTTATATAAAAGTGCGTTAAAAATATGATAAATATAAATGTGGTAAATGACAGATAGTTTGAGTGATATCTAATAGTATTTTGTGTATTGATATGCCGGTGCTGATCAGTACAGGGACTGTAAATATTTTTATTAATAATCTGAAATTAATAAATAAATTGATTTTTTCTAAATGTTTTTGATATAAACATGACAATTATTTACGATACGTTATAATGTCTACGATTTATTTATTAGTATAATATTAATCTGAGTTTATAATGAGTTTATTTGGTTTAACAAAAGTTGCCAGATTAGTGTACTGCTGCTTTTTAATTATAATATTAATATTGTTAATAAATTATTTATATAAAAGTAGTAATAGTAAAGTACCTCTAATTAAAAAACCGTAAGCATTATATATTTTACTAAATTGTCTAAAATGATAATATAGTATTTAATATTTTTACCTAGCTGTTATATAAAATCTAACTTACGTAATAAACAATTACTTTAAAAGTTACTATACCAAGCATATCAATAATAAGACAATTTATGTAAATTATTTATCATGATAAATAATTATTTAATTCAGACTGTAACTAATACTCGCTAAAATTTTATTTTATTAAAAACTTACCCACCACAAATTTATGGGCTATCAGCAATCATTATTATAAAATACTTTGTAGTTTATTACGAAAAATATTTAATAAAATTTATTTTTTCAGGAATACACACGTAATACTATTTTGGACCAGGTACTTTCAACAACCTATTGAACGCAATTTCAACACACATCACATACTAATCGACTCTAACTACTGTTCCCCCACAACATCCCTGTCCACCATCGACATAACCACCTCATGTATGGTAACCTCCAATCGGGTATACCTACCACACGCTAAGGCACTGGTATTTCACTGGCGAGACATCTCAACCCTACCTGACTATAGACTACCCGACCAGTTGTGGACACTGTATAACATGGAGGCACCCACTAATACGCCTCAAAACCTATGGCCTACGAGTGAGTTCAACCTAACGGCGTCTTATCGTATGGACTCCGATATATACGTCCCCTACGGACTGGTAGATAAGCGCCGGGAGGCCTTTAATCTTAACATAGATGTTCATAATAAGTCAAAAATGGTAGCATGGTTCGTTAGCGATTGCGATACACCAGGTCATAGGGAATGGTATGTCGAGGAACTGGCAAAGTATATACAGGTGAATGTCTATGGGAAGTGCGGGAACTACACGTGCGAACCGCGCCGTAGTCCCCGGTGTTGGGAACGGGTGGCTAAGGAATACTGGTTTTACTTGTCGTTTGAGAACTCCGTTTGTCGGTATGTAGGGTGCGGTAGAGCTACCGGTGCTCTCTCTCTCTCTCTCTCTCTCTCTCTGAAAATAAATTAATATTTTACACAAAACTAGTGATTACGTGACGGAGAAGCTGTTCGACGCCCTGACCCACAACATAGTGCCCGTCGTGTTTGGCGGCGCCCGCTATGACCTCATACTACCGCACATGTCGTACGTCGACGCAAACCGGTTGACACCCCACCAGTTGGCCGACCGGCTCGCGAGTATAGCCCGCAATCGGACCGAGTATTTACGGTATTTCCGATGGAAACACCATTTCCGGGTCCACACGAGCCTCGAGCTACAAGTGTTTTGTCAGTTGTGCCGCCGATTGAACCAGAGATCAGATTATGGTAGACTGTCCCAGCATACCGGTGCTCAGGTGAGCAAGTGGTGGTTCACGGGTGGCAAGTGTAGGCAGTGGGTGGGCGTTGAGGAGGACGAGGTGGGCGTGAAAAATGTGTTTTATTAAAGTTTAGCAAAATAAATTACTTTTAAAGTTCCCCTGTTCAGTTATTACACAAAATATTTATTATATAATATAATATAGTGTAATTGTATTTATTTAATTATACAGCTCAAAATCTTATTAGTTTTGCTCACATTAAAAAATAAAGGTTTTAGTGCTTTATATTTTAACATTGTTTACTTTAATTATGTTTATAATATTAATGTAATTATAAATAAATATAGTTTTTTGTATAACATTATATTTAATTTAACATAATATTAATAATGATGACAGTTAAGTACATTCTTTACTTGGTAATTTATTACGAAATTAGTAGTGTGCCCATGTGATATCAAAACCTAGAGCTTTTATTAATAAAAATTATTATTAATTAATTACTTTAACAAATTAGATATAAAAAATAGGGGCAAGAACATTTAAATGTTTAATTAAAAAATTAAAATTTTAGAGACATAATTTATAAAACTGTAAATAATTTTTAAAAACAAATATTAACGTAAAATAATGTAATATGCGCATTTTTAGTTAACACATTAGGGTTATTATTAGCAACCTATATAAAATTTATTTGTGTTTAAAAATTAGTATAACAAATTAATTAATTAATTAATTAGTCAGCCATACCTTGAGCTAACGGTGCGCTGAACTCGAGTGCCAACTGGGCCTCCGATCGGCTCCGGTATCTAATAAACGCCAAGAAGTTGTGCACAATTCGCACGCATTGCACACATAGGCGGCCCTCAAACCCAAATACCCGGCGCCAGTGTTGGCTACCGGCCCGCAAATCAAGTCGTCGCACGCATAGTGTGCGCACCTGTATGTCAAAAAATAAATAAATAACCTTGGTACCATACTAAATATAATCACCTCCACTGTAATAGGGTCGGCCCACTCAAAGGTAAGCTTATTGTCCTGCATATAGACTCCCTGTGCGAACACCCGCCTGGCCATCGACGCCCTGTAGTGCGAGTTAAACACCACGAGTACTGCCCGTCCATTGCGTGCGACGGACACACGCGTCACACACGGCGCTATAAGGGCTAACTCGTGGGTCAGCTCGGGTATGCCTACACCGACCGGTATGTTACCCAACACTAGCGCTCGGTTATCATGCGATTGCTCGACACTTATACGGATCCCTGACCTCAACTCTAGACCATTGAGTGTATCGATGGCTACCCGGGCATCGGTAGGCGTGTTGTACTCGACAAAGGCATAGCCCCAGGAGTTTCCCGAGAAGTTCACCATAAGTCGAACCCTACGTACCGGTGCGGCCAACTCGAGCACCGGTACCAACTCGTCCTCAAATAGATCCGGTGGTAATAGGTTTATAAATAACTCACAGCCGGGTAGGGGTGGTATGTGGTGGTGGTGCTGAGCGCCGGGAGGTAGGGCACGGCTGTATACGCGTTGACCATTATGTTGGGTAAGGGTGTAGTCGGGACGGGAGGCCAGTAGTCGCAATATTTCCGGTGAATCCAGTGTTTTAAACGTAACACTCATTTTGAAATATTTGATAAAATGTTGAAAAGTTTTATTTTTGACAATAAAATGATTATATTTGGTAATTGTGTGCTTGTTTATATAGAGAATTTTAGTGTAATATGATATAAAAACTAGTGAGCAACTGGGGTTATGCGTTTAACCAATGATATTTAATGTTACAAATTTTTAGAGTTAAATATTTTCTTATTTACAAAAGTTTGAGAGACCTTGGATAGGGCTACTAATTGGCTGTCCCTAGTTTATCCCTATGTTTTAGTGTAGCTCTCTCTCTCTCTCTCTCTCTCCAAACTAAAGCAATAGTATAATACATAAAATATTTATTGAATTTGTTTTTATTTACTTTAGGCAATGATAAATTTACTCTATGAATGCTAATTATAACATTTAACAATTAGGTATATGAAAACATTGCATAAAATACAGTAAATTCATTCAATTTTTAAAATTTTAATTTCAAACTAATTTTGATATTATATTCATAATTAATATTTTATTTAAAATATCATTAAAATAATTTAATTTTACAATACTAAATTCTTTAAAGAACATCCATGATAAATTATATACAATTAGTAATATGCCCATGTTATATCAAAACCTAAAGCTGTTTATTAAACATAAACTTTAAAATAAGCTAATAATCAAAAGTAAAATATAAATGGTCTTACTCTGAGCTAACGGCGCGCTCCACTCGAGTGCCAACTGGGCCTCCGATCGGCTCCGGTATGTGACAAACGCCAAAAAGTTGTGCACAATTCGCACGCATTGCACGCATAGGCGTCCCTCGAACGCAAACACCCGGCGCCAGTGTTGGCTACCGGCCCGCAGGTCGAGCCGTCGCACGCATAATGTGCGCACCTGTAGTGTCGTGTCATTTATATAACAAAAATTAAATTTATAATCAAGGTTGTTATTATTTGGTAAATAATAGTAGTAACTAATTTGATAAAGTTTAATTAAAATTATTAGAAAACTTACTCCAAATATTAAAACTTTAATATACAATTTAAACGTATAATATACTTTCTACTTGCTGAGTTACAGTTTCATATCTGTTAATAATTATAATATTAACATATAAGCTAGATATCTATTAATATTAAACTTTATTATAAATGTTTTCTATTTTCATAATATAATTATTAGCTAGCTATAATTAAAATTTTTAAAATTAATTTAAAAACTAATAAGTTAATTAAAAGTTATCAGTATAATACCTCGGTGTTATAAACATTAGGGTCGGCCCACTCGAACGTCAACCTATTTCCGGCCAAATAGACTCCCTGTGCGAACACCCGCCTGGCCATCGACGCCCTGTAGTGTGAGTTAAACACAACGAGTACTGCCCGTCCATTGCGTGCGACGGACACACGCGTCACACCCGACACCATACGGCATAACTCGTACGACAACTCCGACATACGATCCGCAGTGACCTCTACCGGGATGTTCCCGATCACTAGCGCCCGGCTATCATGCGATTGGACGACACTTATGTGGATCCCTGGCCTCACCTCCAGTCCAATGAGTGTAGCGATGGCTAACCGGGCGTCGCTAGGCGTGTGGTACTCAACAAAAGCATAGCCCCGGGAGTTGCCCGAGAAGTTCACCATAAGTCGAACCCTACGTACCGGTGCGGCCGACTCGAGCACCGGTACTAACTCGTCCTCAAATAGATCCGGTGGTAATCGGTCTATGAATAGCTCACAGCCGGGTAGGGGTGGTATGTGGTGGTGCTGCTGAGCGCCGGGATGTAGGACACGGCTGTACACCCGTTGACCATTGTGTTGGATTAGGCGGTAGTCGGGACGGGAGGCCAGTAGTCGTAATATTTCTGGTGAGTCCAGAGGCTTATACTTTGAATCCATGTTTGAATGTGTTTTGAAAACTAGTTTTAAAACTTTTTGCAAAACTTTTTTGTTTTAAAATTTGAGATTATTTTGTAATTGTGTTTATTTTTCTATGGGTTTTGTATGTAATATAATACCGATGGGTAACAGTGCGCTCAGGGAGGCGGCCAATGGTATTTAATTTGACTAATAAGTGTCATTTATTTACAGTTTGGTCTAGGCAATTTACAAATTATGTTTTGCTATTATGATGCTATACTACAATATCTGTACTTCATAATGATGTTAGCTTGTACATTTTATATGTAATTTTAAACCTATTATTATTTAACAAAATGAATCATTAAATGATATTTTGTGTTTATATAAAATGAATACTTATGTTAAAGTTAACAACACTAATAATTATTTAAAAATATTTTTCTTAATAAGATTCAATATATTTAATATTTTAAAATACAAACTTTTTCACATTAGTTATATGTTATTTATTACATTTAATTATACAAAACAATGCATGCTCACTAATTTAAAAAATTATAATTTAATATACAATTAGCTCATCTATATTAAATCTATTGTAACTAGCATGAAACTTTATTTCAATTAAACATTTTATTTTAAATTATTATTATATTTATAAAATTTTATTTAAAAAAGCATTTGTTATTCTCGGTTATAAACAGCCATTAACGTAGCTTGATCCTTTATAGTGTACGAATTAACTGTACAAGTATAATCCAGTACCTTTTCCCCAAACAATAAATTTATATTCCCTTTGGGTATGCCTACATTTTTAGATATCGAACCCTTTATATCGTCAATAAAATCTGATCCATGTGCTTTTAAAGTAATAGTTTTTTCAGTAGCACCAGCATAAACTTTAATGGTCAAGCTCAATTCATCACCTTGATCCGTTTTAATAGTTTTGTCAGTAACATCAGCATACATTTTAATTGTCAATTCATCACCTTGAGGTCCTTGGTCCTTTTTAAGCTGTCCAAACTTAATGGTACTCACTATTAGTTTATATATAAACATAAATTCATAAATATTTATAATTAAATATAATTTTTTTAAATATAGTATAATTTTTTATTTGTTATACAATTAATTAATGTATTTATTATTACATACTTAACATCATAATTAACAAAATTGTTATCAGGATGAACGCGTATAATTTTTTACGTTTATTATCCATGTTGTAAGTGTTTTTAATTAATTATGAAAGTAATTTTTAAAACAAGTTAAGTAAATAGTTTTTATTTACTACAGTATACCATATTTGTTAATAAAATTTTGATTAAAAAAAATATTATTTAATTATTAAATAATAATTACTAAAGATTTAATAATATTTTTAGTGTTCAATATGTTATTAGCTAATACCATTAAAAGTTTTATTTATTTTGTAAATAAATAATAAACAAAAACACCGGGATTAAAAACTTCAAAAAATTTTCAAATTTTATTACTCATCATAATATGAATGAAACAAAAATCAATTTTAGATTCAAAAAACACTTAATTATAATAATAATCAAACAATTTTGAGATACAAAACACACATTTTTGTCACTTAATTATAATGAGAAATATATATCAAAAACGAGTTAATATTAAATTGAGAAAGGTAATTTTATATAAAAAAATCAAAATCAATTTGTGCGACAATTATTAGCACATAATTCGTTGAGCACCCGGTGCTGCCACACCACCACCTAATAGTCGACTGTGCGTTACTGTCGGGTATAGATACGTACGCTAGTGACCGGACCTACCGATGCGGTCACTTTGAGTTCATTACCGTTGAACTCACGTACAATCTTGACCTCCTTGTCCCCCTGTTGGGTCTGGATCAGTTTGTTGCCATCGGCCACCACTACTGTCTAGGTACATTAAATGAATATAGTAAATAATTAGTATGTTTTAAATTAGAAAGAATATTCCGGGTATCATAATGTATAAGTGTATTAATTTGTTATGTAATAGGCATAGGTGTAAATGTGATAGTGATAAAATATTAGTGTTTTAAACTTTTTAATAATTTTAAAACTTGTTTTAGTGTACTAGGTTAGTACTGTACAAAAATACTCCCATGAAAATAATATGCAGTAAGCTAACAAATTGTCATTAAACTTTTAATTATAATAATTAATTTTGAATAATTAATAAATTCACAATAACATAGTTTTCAAAAAACAATTAACTAGTTAACTATTACCAAGTTTACTAGAATATCAAACATTAATTGTCAAGAGCTAAGGGACTGGTAGGTGGTGGACATGGTACAACCATACTACCTAGCTAACAATTAACATTGCAGTAATCTATCATAGTGTATATAATACTATTTAAGTGTAAGGGGTTAGGGAATGGTAGGTTAGGGTGTGTAGGGGCTGTAGTGGCCAGGTATGTATGCATACCTTGACATTCTTGCCATCCATGCGCGCCTCCTCGAACTCCTTTCCCAACTCGAACTTAATCTCCGAGTTCTTAATGGCGGTCAACGTCTTGAGCGAAAACACGTCGCCATCTTTGGTGATCTCCACCACCGGTGTCGACGTCTTCGCCAGATTTCTCAACACAAAATTCACGCCTATTTTTGGGCATAATTTTGTTCATCAATTAATTGTGATTTTTGGTACAAAAATGTGTTTAAATATTAAGTTTATATAAGAGTTTAAAATAAGTTTTTTTTTAATTTAATAATTATTTTATTAAGTTAAAGAATATTGTGTGATATATCGATGGAAAGGTATGCGTGTGGTAATGGTATGTGATTATTTATGTATTATTTTAATTGTGATTAATTTAGTTTTTATGATTATTAGTTTGTATTATTGTTTTGTTGATAATTGTGTGAATATTTGTGTAGTTTTTAGGTTAGCATTGAATGCAAAGATTGTGTGAAAATTGTATTAAATTTCGATATTATTTGCGAAAAAAAGTTTTTATAAATAGATTTTCGGTTTGTTTTATAAATAGATACTAGAAATTCAAAACTCTCTCACACACACACACACACACGAAAACTTAGATTAGATTTTAAATGTCTATTATATTGAAAGCATTTAAAGCGAAAAATAATTTGCACTCAATTAGTGAAAAAATTTATTTATCAAGCAAATAGATTCCCTATAAACTCAAAGTCCGTATAAAAGTCTAATTAAAACAAACGTATAATTAATTTCTCATTAAAATAAACATAACATAGCGTCTAAAGTGCAGCACATTTTTGCAAGTATTTTAAAGTCCAGTCCTTACAACTCAGATATGATTTCCCAAAAAATACTTAATATTGAAATCAAATGATAAAAACGTTTTTCTCATTACTTTCTATTCACACGAGAATTATGGCGACAAATAATTTTCTGTATATTTAAGCAAAAAATATAATTATAAGTCTATTAACCAATAGTCATTTATAAACGACTAAATACTATACAGAAAAAAGTTTCCAGTTTTGGCAAAAAGTATATAAAATATATTTTTTGAGATAACATTCACTATACAGTTAGTGATAAAAGTTTTGACAATTAGTTGTATTGTTTTATATGTTAATTGAAAATAAACTAAAGTCTTATAAAAACTACCAGTCCTTCGGTACATTGAAATCAGATTTATGTAAGAGCACAGGGAGTTTGGGGTGAGTGGGCTGGTAGCTCATGGGACTGGTAGTTTGGTAAACTGCTAGATATGATAGAAAATTGAATATAATATCGCATTTATCATAAAATATGTTTTATCATCAAAATTAATATTAATGTTTAAATTGAGTGTCATATCAGTGTAGGGTCGGGTGCGAAGTGCACATACATGCCATACCCACAGGGCATGTATATGTAATACAGTATAATGTTAGCCAGTTAACGGGAACGGTAGTATAAATTATTTTTAAAAAAATTTATATGTTATGTATTATAAATACAATTAAGTTTTAAAATAAGTTTTAAAATAACTACATGCTACATTATATATTTATTTTTAATACACACTATACAGGGGGGTTAGGGTTAGAGCACAGGGAGTATATTGTATGAAAAGACATTGAAAACTGTTATTAACCTTAAGATAACGGGAAGTCTTTATCAATTAGTCCTATCTATCTATGCATACAATGCCAGCGATTTATATACAGTATATTTAGCGACAGATTTAAGGCACACAAAAAAAATTATCACAAAATTTGTTTCATAAGAAAAACTTTTGCACTTTTTATTATGTAATAAAAAACTATCTAATAAACTACAGTACATTGGGTGCCTTAGTGGCCGGGTAGGGCGGTTAGTAAAATTAATAGATTTATAAATATATTTACAGCTAGTTTGAGGGCTAATGTACAGTACAATAGGGTAGTTATCTATGAGTCAACTGTTATATGTAGTGATTAGGGGATCTGAAGGACTGGTAGCTAATGGGACGGTTAGTAGACGTGTACTGATCATCAAGTGGTTAACAGTCTCTCTCTCTCTCTCTCTCTCGTAATAATTATGAACAAAACAATCGCTTTTGTCATTCAATCGCAAAGTGTTTATAAATGACTAAAAATAAAACACTTATTATTATTATGGAAACCCCAGTGAAGGCGTGGATATCAATACAGTATAAGGGGAATGGGATGTAAAAGTCCTTATGTTGTAAATACACACGCTATGTTGTACTACTACATGAAATGGACAGTTAGCTAACAAAATATATAAATATGACTAACATGTATAAATACATTGTATAAATCGTATTATAATAGCATAAGTAGACTGTATATAAAAGTTTTATTTTTAAAAACACTTGTATTTTAGAAAACATTTTTAGAAATAAGACTCACTTTTGAAATATAAAACTACGAAAACATTTGTTTAGACAAATATAATACTATTAGAGTAATGCTATTAAAAACTTGAATAAAAAAGTTTTTAAAACTTTTTTGTTTGAGACAATGATTTGGATAATAATTTTGTAAACCCTATTAAAATGATAATTAAAATATCAGTATATTATCGGCAAAAATTTAGTCATTATAAAACTAAATACAATTAATACAATACATAAAAGCTATATAACTATTATAAAGCTATTTATATTGATAATAGACGGTAAATGTAAAAGTGTATTATATATATCATTAGAAATAAGTTTTAAAATTTTCAAGCTAAATATAAATATAATATTTATTCAGTCAGTGATTTGACTCATACTGTAAATACGATTCATATGATTATTATATCTGTTTGTATTGTGTATGGGATTTATAATAATAGTAAGATTTTAATTGCATTTTAATTGTTTAGTCTATTATTGTAAAATATTCAGGAAATAAAAATCTATTATTCATTGTACCGGGTGTTCACTATAATAGGACTTTCAAAAAGTATGGGTAGAGCTATGATTTTTAATTAATGATATTTTTATATGTAATTATATTATTATATTTAATGATTTTAAAAGCAATCACGTGTTCATTAATTTTCAAATAATTAATTTTTTTTGTCTAATACTGTATAAAATAATTAGAAATTTGTTCACTTGAACAATTTGTAAAGTAATTATTAATATATACTAAATATTGTACTAATAATGATATGAATTAATAAAAACTATAGTACTTTTATACAAAAAAATTATATAACAGTTTTATAACCTGTTATGAAAAAAGTACGATTAACTAGATTGATAGGTAGGCGCGGTTGGCAGAGCACCGGGTGTTTAGTGGGTTATCTAATAAAAACTGTTTTGTAGTCATACCTAAAATGTGTTAAAGTTTTAAAAATTTTATAATAGATATTGAAATCATTTACTTATAAACCCTAAACATATTTAGCTTACTATTCATTATAACAGAGTTTTCATAATAAAAATATTTTAATGTCTAAAATATTTTTGTGTAAAATATCACTAGAAAACCGGTAAAACTACCATGAATATATCAATTAAAATAAAATATACATAATCTAAAACTATATAAATAATATTTGATATTATTAGATAGTGAAATATATTAAAACTTGAGTGAATAGAGTACATACATTCACATAAATATGATAATAAGCCGGTTATAAATTGGGATGAAAAATAAAATCAAATAGTTATACTGATAAAATTAATTATCAAAACTTTTATGCTGAATACAAATCTATTCACACAAACTCATACAGTACTAAAATGTATAAAACTTTATAATAACTACATTATATTAAGTAGTATATTATTATATAACAGGTGCATAATGTCCACACAGAAGTAGCAGGTTCAAAATATTTTTGAAAATTAAATTAATAAACACGTCATACGTACTAACACGCTATCACTGCACGCATAGCGTATTAAACCGCTACTTATAGTAAGCATAAAAATAATTCGCTAAGCTCATTTATAATTTAAAATATTTTAAAATAATTAAAACTAACCGAGCTCCTTGAGAAACTCGTCGAAGTTGTCCGATGAGGTGAGTTTGAATTTACCCGTGAAGTCGGCCATTATCTGCGATAGAAAAGCAGTTTTTAATAAAAACATTTTTTAAAATCAAGTGTGTTTCGAGAAAGTTTTAAATTACTTTTTAAATTAATTATAAATTACAAGTTATTTCTTGTGATGTATTTATACGCGTAGACACCGTAAACGTGTTGAGCGAATGATGAGACTGTACTCCGCTTTAGTACTATTCAATGCTATTTAAATACAAAACGAGTCAACGCATAGACAACACGGCATGAGTTTTCAATGACAACTCACACCACTTTGTGTGGGGCGGAGTCAGTGCACAACGGCTTACTCATAGGGTGCACCGTAAATTACGTCCGTTATTGTGGCAGGCTCAGTTAGTTATTTAAATTATTTTAAACTAAATTAACTTACATTAGCGGGTAATTTAAATTAAAATATCTTATTTTATGTACATTAGTAGTTATATTGAACAGTATTATTAGTGTATATTTTAAAAAGTTAAATGTTTTGTTTATTAATAATGTATGTTACCCTGTTTGTGTGCAATAGTACTAGTGGCTAAAATAGTACTTTTCATTGAAATAAATTAATACTGTAGTACTGTATCATAATTTTTATTTACTGTGAGTTTATTTAGTGAAAGTTAGTACACTATGATCTTGATAACATTTATAACCAAAACTAATAATTCAATTTAAACAGTGATATTAAGGGCACTATTTTGAGTACATATTCAGGGGGCTAAATAGCGTCTACTGTATGTAAGGGGAATGGTAGCTGGTTTTTGAAAATGGGTGTGTCAGGTCAATTATCAGGGTTAGTGATGCTAGACATTGATACTACAATCATATTTTTATACAGGTGTATTATTTTTAAACAGTCATATACAGTTAATATTACTTTATTTGTTGATTAGTTTAAAAATGTATTATATAAGAATAATTTTTATCTAGCTATTTTTAAAATTAAAAACTATTAAACGTAACAAAATTATGGTTTTAATTTTAATGTAAATTTATTTATTAACTATAGTTTATTATAACGGTATTCGAGTGTAGCATAACTTTTTAATTTTACTGATTACCCAAAGTATTAATAAAATATTAAAATGTTTTAAAAGCTTAGTGTCGAAATAAAAAGTTTTCATTTGTTTTACTTGTATAAAGGACTTTGAAATTGAATAACTTATTGATAAAAACTTTTTTGCGATAAATATTTGGAAATCATATGAGAAATAACTGGTTGTTTATAGAAATACATGTACACCCTATGTAACGGTATATTATATAACGGGTCCATTCATTCAATACGTGTGACCTTCACAATAATAATCATACATATAGTGTACACCCGGTATTGATAACCAAATTAAATAGATTTTGAAAAATTAATAAACTATTTATATTTATATTAATTGCTATTATAATATTAGTACACATAACAAATCATGGTTAAAAAATATTTAGATTTTATAAATAATTTTCTAAAGCTATTTATACTGGATAGTTTATTTTTATAAAAGAGTTTAGTGTTAATAATTTAAAAGTAATTTTATTAAAATTAATATTTATTCACAGACTCGTTATACTCATGAATATGTGAATCATTTAATGAATATTAATAGCAATTTATTTAATGTTGGCAATGAATTAGTGTCAATTTGGAAAATATACTTTCTAATAGATAGACATCCCTGACCTCTACATCCCTTTCCACTAAATACTTGTAGTGGATATAATATTAAATAAATATAAGTTATACCATAGTCAGTCTGAAAATTTAAACAAAGTTGGCATGCTGTCATTTGTCATTTGTTTTGTACTTATTTGTACTTATTTGTACTCGGTCATTTGCATGATAAGTTATGTCAACCGTAATATCAAAGTATTTGTTAACAGTCTCTCTCTCTCTCTCTCTCTCTCTCTCTCTCTCTCTCTCTCTCTCACACACACACACACACACACACTTAAATAATTGTAAATTTATTATATATTTAAAATATTTTAAATTTTATTTAAATTAGAAAATTAATATTTTAAAGCATACAAACTGTAATACTTTTCTAAATTCATATAATTTATAAATATAAACAAATAGTAAGTCTAATGTTAAAAATTTTATTTGTTATTTATAATAATTTTAAACAAAATTTTATTTATGTTTCTAAACCTAAATATATATTTTGTGGAATTTAATTTGTAAATTAACTTTATACTCAGGGTACTTAAAGTTACTATCATAAACAAATTCATAACTATACTAAAATGTGTTTAAACAAAATAAATATAATAATAAATTAAGTAACAAATAAATTTATGAAAACTGATCTGGATTTTGTGAGCTAGACACATTTACTGTCTCGTGTAGACACGTACGCAGGTGACCGACCCCACGGTTAAAATCATTTTAAGTTCATTGCCGTTAAACTCGCGCACTATCTTGACCTCCTTGTCCCCCTTTTGCACCTGGATCAATTTGTTACCATCGGCCACAATGGAAGTCTATAAAAATGTAAAATAAAATTAGTTGATACCTAGTACAATAATCATATATAAATTAATAAATAGTGTTTTTTAATAAGCTCATTCCCGGTAATAAAAAGCATAATTAACAAAAATTATACTGGTTAAAAAATATGTTATACAATTATTAAGTAATATTACATTTGAGCAAGCACGTTTAGTTCTTAATTAATTTCCCCTTATTATACCCTAATACTTTTAGCATGTAATATAACTATTATACTCTATTATACTAGGTCTATTTATTAATTGCTTAATATATTGTTCAATAGTATACGTGAGGTTTATAGGACCTAGACTAATTGTGGCAGGTAGTGGGTATGGGCGGCCAGGGATGTATGCATACCTTGACATTTTTGCCATCAGCCCGGGCCTCCTCGAACTCCTTTCCCAACTCGAACTTAATCTCCGTGTTCTTCACGGATATCGTCTTAATGGTGAAGAGGTCGCCATCTTTGCTAATCTCGACGGTCGGTGTCGCAGATTTGGCCAAATTTCTCACCACAAAGTTAACGCCTTTTTAAGTAATTTTAAAATATATTTAATTTTCGGTTAATTAGTGTTATTTTATATAGGTTTTAGAAATATGTACTATTTTTATTGAATATGCTGTCATTATAATCGTAATGTGTTTAATATGAACGATATATTTAACTAGACGCAATTAAGCTACGCTACTTATATTATGAAACTAATTGTTTTAACTAAAAAATTATCAAGGCGGCGTGCACAAAGTACATACGCACTGGTAGGGGGGAGGGGGTCATGCCAAAGCGTATGTCGCCATGTTAAATTCCTATGTACGATGGGCGTGTAGGGGGGGAGGGGGGTCAATTTATGAACAAAATTTTGCGTACGTACTTTGTGCACGCCGCCTAAATTAAATTAGCAGTATTCTTACTGTGCAAAATGACAAAAAAAATTAGCTTAGTAAATTAATTATTAAATAAATACAATCATAATGTAATACCTTAATGATAACACATAAACACATATAAAAAAAATTTAAATAAAACACTTATTATAAATAAATAAAATAATTTTTAAAACTAATTAATTAAATAAAAATATTTTAAAACTCACCCAGCTGCTTGAGAAACTCGTCGAAGTTGTCCGATGAGGTCAGTTTGAATTTACCAGTGAAGTCCACCATTATTATCAGTTTTTAAATACTTTTTTACACAAAAATAAATATACTTTTATTAAATATTTTCAAAGTCCGTAAACTTATTGACTATACTTTTCAATAGGACTTGAACTGCTATTTATATACAATAACAGTCAATACATACATACATTACCAGGGGAGGTGCTACATAATTGTTGCCTAGCTAATAATGCAATAGTACAGTACATAGTACTAATGTCCCGGTGCTTATCAAAACATCAGTACTTTTTATTGTGATTTATATTAAAGCATTACATATTACGGTAGTGTTTATTATCGGAGGTGTTAAGTCCATAATTAAGTACATTTAGTACATGGTAAAATAGGTGCGCGGGGTTGACTAAAGTATCAGGGTCAACTAGACAATATGATGAGTGCAGGTAACAGGAAGTTTAAATTTTAAACAGTTAACTTGTGTACCTATTTGTACTCAATTATTGTATTGATATTACCTTGAATATAACACTTTACTTAATTCTTTACTCTCTCTCTCTCTCTCTCTCTCTCTCTCAAAAAATATCATTTTATAAATCGTTAAAATTATTAATTTTATTCTAATTTATGTTTTTAAAAAATATCTCGGTAAAATATATAATACAAAAATTATTTTTTTATAATAATCATAATAATATTGAGAGAGGTAGATAAAATATTTTTAAATGTGATATGTCATCTAATGTTATACACTGTAATAATTATTATGACAGTATAATACATGTATATATTAACTTGTAGTACATTGAGTACTTATGTACATATTGCATTAGTGATATTTTATTGCATTCAATATACAATAAATGCACAAAATTATGTACTTAATACTAGCAATATGTTTGAATTACCAGGTTTAATGTCAATAAGTATGAGAAATATCAAAAATATTACTTTACATTATAAGTACTACAAATATTTGTGTATAAACATACATGCCAGTTTTCTATATTTAAAGTTATATTCATTTGTCTGTGTATTTTTACTAGTTACGAATATTAGTTTAATGTTTTTAATGTCTATAAACAAACCGGCTCACAATATTAGAATAATGAGTTATTTAAAGTTTAATAATTATTGACATTTATTGCATAACAAATTAATTATAACTTTTAAAAAAATTTAGTTATGATAAAAAATTTATGATAACATGAGATTAACTTATTTGGTAATAACACATTCACATTTGGTGCTAACTATACGTAAGTAGTGACTTTTGAACATTTATTATCAGGTTGATAATTTTGGTTTAATAAAGTTTTAATTGATTATACAGTAAGTATGTTCAAATCATACAGTACAGTTAACATACATGTAAATATAAGTTATAGCAAAATATTTAATTTATAATATTTGTAAATTCAAATATATTTATTAAAATGTAGAACTTAATAGTAAATATGATTTTTTAAAATATGAATATTTACTAGTTTATATTTCTATAAATTTTTAAAATATAATTTTTATAATTAGCGTATTCTGTACTAAAATATTATCAATAAAATATTATTTAATCACCAAGTTTACTAGTACAGTAAAATAAATTTAAAATAATTTTAACAGTACCTTTCCATAATGTTTACAATAAATAGTTTAAAAAAAATAAAACTTTAATAAATAAATCACCGTTGTACC